ACTTTTTAATAATAATATATAAATATGATTAATTATTAATCTATTGATTTTTTTTAAAGTAGTTTTTAAAAATGTTTAATTAAAATTATAATATTACATTTAAAAAATAAATTTTTAGGAATATTAATATTAGATTATTTTTAGTATATTTAAAAATACATTTGTATTTTTTTAGTATTTGTAAGAATATTTTAAAATTTAAAATAATAAAAAAATAAAGATTATCCCAGGTTATAGTTTTATTAAAATTAACTCTTTCACAATCTTATAAAAGTAATATAAACAAACTATAACTTATTCATTCATGTTTTGGAAGAAAATTTAATAAAACATGGTGATATTAATCAAATGGAAATAAAAGAAAAACTTATAGGAAATATAATAATTATTAGAGGTGATAATATGTCTAAAATATACAGTTATAAAATTTAAAAAAATTAAAATTTTTCAAAGACCATACCTTACCATTCTGCATGGTTGTCAACTTAATTTACAAGTCAAAGATATTATTTTTAGTCTATCAACATGTTCCTTGAAGGTCATATAATATTTTTTATTAAAATAAAAATAAAATAAATTATAATTTGAAGGATTTTAATTTTTTATGTTGCATTATTTAAAAGATATAAATATTTAATAATATTCTAATTAAAATAATATATTTTTATGAATTAAGTTTTTATTATTAATTAATTTAATATATAAATGTAATATATCTCTTAATTTATTATCTAATAAGAGATATTAACCAATAAATTAAGAATTACAATTTTTTACATAATTAAATATTTTTAAATATATTTACAAACATATAACATTTATTTTTTTTATAAAAGAATACTACCATATCAATCCACTCTTTCATCAAACAGGCTAAAACCAATTCACAGGTTAGAAATGGGACATATTAACCATTTTGTTATATTAAATCTTAACATCAAGTTCAATTTTACAATATTAATTTTTTAATATTGAAATAAACATAATCTTAGTTTTTTAGCAAGGAGTTCATGATTTTGATTTTTATTAACCTATTTAATAATTCATTAAATATTTTTTTCTAAAATATATCTTTTGATATACAATTCAATAATAGAGATGCTATCATCAAATTCACTATTTTAGCATAAGTGTACATATGGCTCACCATGCTATTTTAATTCACTCTAAACCTAAATTTATTTTCCATTTCCAAAATAAATTTTGTAGTGTTCCAACTTTCATATTAAAAAAAAAAAACACTAGATATATAAATTGATAATTAACAAGAAAGACAAATTAAAATTAAAGATCATTTACGTGACGAAATCAAAGAGGCAGTGAAGATTAAATTGTGAGTTAACTATTTTTCTAATTCCTAATCAAAATTCAAACCACCCTTTAATTCACTAATTAACAAGAGTGAATCAAAACCACCCTTTAATTTTTCTAAAACTAAATTAAAAGACATAATTTACAAGATTTCAATCCATGAATTTTGTGATTAGAAAAATAAGAATAAATTACCCATACGCATGTTTTAGAGAGCACAGAATCTGAATGATTGAGATTCCATTTGAATGAAAAGTTTGTGCAGAAAGCTGCAACAGTGGAAGTAGAGATAGAGTTTCTGGGTGAGAATGTTACCATTTCTGGGGAGGGTGCGACATTAAATACGGAAAAAGCAACGTTTTTTATTTTCTCTGTCATGTGTTTGAATTTGGATTTATTTGACTCATTGATGATGTTTGTTGGGCACAACTCAGAAAACAAGATCATAAGCATAAGGTGGATCCACGCAAGCCAATGGCACCGACCTATGTAGCCAACTCACACCAACGTGGAATCGAACACTAAAAACATTACACGTTTTGTTCCAGTTATTACCCTAACACCTTCCAACAACTTTGTATCTACAAAGTTTAGTTACAAAATTTTCAAATATTATTGAATTCTTGATAATAAAAAAAATTGTATTTTGTAAACTAAACAAAATCGTAGTAGTATCATGTAATATTTTGTATTTTGATATTTTCTTCGTATAAAATCATTTTTAGTAGTTTATTATTTTTTTATACGATGATAAATATAATTAAAAAGAACAAAATAATTAATAAAAAAAGTAAATTTTTTTTTCATATTAAAATATCACCTATTTTCAAACCTGCGGAGTATTAAAGAATATTAATTATTTATTTATTTTCTCATTCACATATAAAAAATATAAATAATAAAAAGATAAATAAAATAAATTGACTGTAAAATAAAAAGCGTTAATTATTTTTTCTTTCAATCACACAGACAAATATAAAGTAAGAAATATATATATATATATATATATATATATATATATATATATATATTTATCTTGTATTTTTTTTCTATCCTTTATAGATTTGTAAGGAAAAAATGATAATAACAATGTTACTATTTTAGGATAATCTTTAATTTAATTTATTTTTTATTATGATAATTTAAGTGAATAAAGTTTTTATTTTCTTTATTTTTTATATTATGATGATATTTTTTTAAATTTCTTTATTATTATTATTATATTGTTTTATTTAAATTATTTGTTTTTTATTTTTAAGTATATGTAACTATAAATAGATGAAATTTATAAAATAGAAAAAATAATTAAATGAATTAATAAAATAATAATAATAATAATCAGATAAATAAATTAATAAAATAAAAAATAATTAATATTTTTAACGAGTCATGTTAGCCAAACCATATGTAATATATACATCCCTCATAAATTAATAAAAAATAAATGCAGATATTTTTATATAGTTTTATGAAACTAACTTCACACTTTCAATAAACAGATGAAAACAGTAAATGAATGTGTTTTTATAGTATAATAATAATTTCACACTTTTAATAAATATATTAAATGAAGCATACAATAATTATGGTGGTTGAACATTTAATCTATTAATTCATTTGAATGGAGATTAGAAAAATGGAGATTAGAAAAAAAAACTTCTTTCGTTTTAAAATGTTTCAAAATATATGACATTTTTGTGTAGATTTTTTTTTTTAATATTTATGATATTTGTAAAATTTAATATTGTATTAATTATATTTTATTTATTATATTTCTATCTTTTAATTATATTTATTATAGAAAATAAGTGATAAATTACTCCCTCTGTGTCAAAATATTTATGACTTTGGAAAATATAAGATTGTATTAATTATTCTTTTATCAAATTATACTTTGTCTTTTAATTATATTTATTATAAATAGATGATAAAGATATATTAATGAAAAAAACTAATAAATTTATTGAAAATAATAAAAATTAATGTTTATATTAGTTTATGTAGTCAAACCTTAAATGTCACATAGTTTAGAATAGAGGAAGTACTTAATATTATTTTGTTGGAGAGAATATTAAAATAATAAAGATATTAATAAAAATATATTAATTAATTTATTAAAAATATTAAAAATTAATATTTATATTAGATTGAGTTATATTTTAAAATAGAGAAATTAAGAAAATGGTAAAAAATATAAAATAAATACATTCCAGTTAAAAATTGAGAACAGTAAAAAAATAATCAATTGGAAAGACTATTTTTGCTTACTGCATTTCTATAGATTTGAAAAATAATAAACAACACTTATTATGATATAAATGGGAAAATGATTATGGCAAAAATAACTGTTTACCTCCATACTTGCTATAAACAAAACTTTAATTTTTTTCCTAATCTTATTTATTGATGTTTATACTTTCCAATTAATTGAGATGTTATTTGCAATAAATGAAACTTAAAAAAAATTCAAAATGTGATTAATAGAATTGAATGATATTATTAATTTACTGACATAATCTTGTTTTGTTAATAAATACTTATCCATTCTGCTGTAACGATGGTTTTAATGTTAACTATGTAACAAGATTTTAACGTGCGTAATGTTGTAACATTCAAAGAAAATATTATTTATTTTTTCTAATTTATCTTCAAATTAATTACTTTCTCTTATTAATTAAAACTAATGAAATTATTAAAAAGTGAGATTACATTAGTAAAATTATTTAAATATATATATATATATATATATATATATATATATTTATTATTCTTCCTCATGAGTTATTCCTATACTCCATTCATTCTTTTTTATTTGTCTTCTAATATTGTTCAGATCAAACAAGAAATACAAAACATTTTTCTTTTGATATCAATAAGACAATTATGAAAATTCCTATTTTATTTTTTCCTTTTCCATTGAATACAATAAATACACGTATAAATTATTTAAAAATTAGAAAATATAGAAGAGTATAATTATTAGAAAAATAATTAATGTGACTTGAACTTGAGAAAATACTTCACCCATCTCACTTAAATTTTTGACAAATTTTTTATTTCTATTAATTAATTATCATTTTCAAAAATTAAGACAAGATTAATTATTTTTCTTATTTCTTCACATAATCTCTAACTAGTTTACTTATCTATTTATTGCCGTTTCTAGAAAAAGAAAAACCCTTAAACCAAGTTTAAAATGAAACCAAAGGACAACATTTAAAAAAAAAATCTATTTAAGATAATTTTATTTATATTTAGATTTCAAAGTAATATTTTTTACAATTTTCAATGAAATTTAACTATTTAACAAGTAAAGCGTGTGACAAACATGCAGTATTTGTCCCATTACAGGTGTGTAATATAAAGGGATTACATAGAATCCAGTTGGAAAAATTAAAGAGAAAATAAGAAAAATGTTTTATTTAGTTTACTAAAAAATTAACCAAGTTGACCACTCTAATCTTATCGCTGACACGCTTACACCGTGCTTACACCATGCAACATACCCAACTTAACATTGAAGTGTTGTACTTTCCTACCTTAACCCCACCCTTTTCCTCTCACCTTTGTGCCTATAAAACACACCATCATGTCCAAACATTTCCACACCTGAGAACAACTAGAACCAGGAGAAAAAAAGCACACATAACACAAACCTTAGTCTCTTCCAAAAGAACATCATAGTGGTAATGGCAACCCGCGTGATTCCCCGCAGGATCCTCAAGAGCGTACGCTACAACACCGCCACGAAGCCCCTCAACACGGTGCAACCCTCCCTGACGCCGGCGATTGCGCCGCAGCCGCTCTTGGAGAAGCCTCCGTGTTCGGCTCCGGAGGCCGCGGCCCTGTGTCTGGACGATGCGGAGCGACTGTTCGGGTCGGTTTCGACGGCGCGGCTGCTCCGGTCGGCTGCTGTGCTGCATGCGACGGCGGTGGGGCCCATGGTGGACCTGGGAATGTGGGTGATGAAGTCGCCGGTGTTCCAGAGTGGGCTGCCGCGGGATCTTGTCATGGCAGCCACGCGCCAGACGTTCTTCTCGCACTTCTGCGCCGGCGAGGATGCCGCCGCCGCTGTGAAGACCATCAGAGCACTAAACGACGACGGGTTGCGCGGCATGATGGTGTACGGCGTTGAGGATGCGCACGATAACGAGGGGTGTGATCGGAACCTCGATGGGTTCCTTCACACTGTTAGTGTCAGGAAATTGCTTCCACCATCTTCTGTAGGCGCTTCTTCTTCTTCTTGTTCTTTCGGTTTTTTTTTTTTTTATTTCCCTTGGTCTCTCACATGCAAAGGGAAAAAGAGATTGAGGTTTGGTGAAGTGGGTCCCACTTGAATTTGGTGTTTTTTTCTTCTAAAGAGTTTAGTTTAGACAGGTGATATATATAATTTATGAAAAAAAATATTCATTTTATTTATGTAATAATTAGTTTATAAAAATAAAAATAATTTAAAATTAATATTATTTATTAAAGGAAATTGTTGAATGAATGATTATTGAAAAGAGAGCATGAAAATCTTTTTCATTTAGTTTAAATTAGATCCTCTTATAATAACTCTGATCAGAGAAATTTTAGTTTTTTGATTAAAAATAAAAAATAAAAAATATTTTAAAAAAAGATGGGTGCATGAAATTTTGATGATGAAGATCCGATTCTAGCAGGAAATCTTAGTTGACAGATTTTTTATACCCTTCTCTGAGATGGGTTTTGCTGAATCCTGTATCTTTTTATTTTCATAGATAAAAAAATGATTTTTGAAATGTTTGAATCTTGTAACTCGTAAATTGAGAATAGAATAACTGTCACGTGAAGATTCGTTACTTGTGTCTGACTATACAGTAATTTTGCATTACTCTGTTTTTCATGTTTAATTTTACATTTGCCGTATAATGGTGTACGAATTTGACACTTTTAGGTGACAAAAAGGTAAAAATGAGAAGCAAATATTCTTTTTCTTTCTAACTTATAATCATGAAAGATTAATTTTTTTCAGAAGTTATTTAGATGGCATGCCTGATCATGATTTTGAAACGCATATCATTTATAAAATGAAATGTAACGAAAGAAAGAGTGTGTGACGCCCTTTTTTCGTTTCTCCCCACTTTTCCACTGGTTGAAAGTGAGTCACTCATATTTTTTATTACCACGTGATTTTGCATATAAAAAAAACTGATCTTGGCAAAAGAAAAAGGTGAAAAAAAAGGCAACTTTTTGATCAATTTCTTTTGCATTAATGCCTTAAAGTAGAATTCCTACTGTTATTATTATGTTGTATAATTTTGTGGGAACCTTGAAAGGGAACACGTACGGTGCGGCGTGTTTGATTTTTTCTGTACAAGTGGGTACCATGCATAAATCATTGTCAGAAAATCAACGTTATAGTGTGACAACTTGAGATGCCAGTTAAGGTCATGCTTGTCTTATTTTATTTTATTTTTGTTTTCTTATGATATTGATGAGAGATGTGTTATTTTGGTCCCTCTCGGAAAGAGTACAATGAGGTTGGCAAGTTGGCAGTACTTCTGCACATGAACTGTGATTCACTCTAAATTCTAATGCCATGTAAAAGTTGGAAACTATATTATCAATTTCTAACCAAGTTTTTAATGATTTGATTGTCAATTTTCTTTGTGTTTGGTAGGCCAAGGGGTTTATCTGTTTGTCGTATATTTCACCTGTTTTTCTGTGTCTTCTCCGGTTAAACTTATGAAGGCAAATTTCATTTTTGATGTGACAGGTGAGCTTTGTGATTGTGAAAATCACTGCAATATGCCCCATGGCATTGCTGGAAAGACTCAGTGACCTTTTAAGATGGCAACAGAAAGACCCTTCATTGGTTTTGCCATGGAAGCAAGATTCCCTCCCAATTTTTGCAGAATCTAGCCCTTTGTATCACACACAGAAGAGACCAGAGCCTCTAACCACAGAAGAAGAGAGAGACCTTCAACTTGCCAGCCAGAGACTCCTTCAACTTTGCCAAAAGTGTGAGGAGGCCAATTTGCCTTTGTTGGTTGATGCTGAACACACTACTGTTCAGCCAGCCATTGATTACTTTACATACGCTTCTGCCATCAAGCACAACAAGGATGACAACCCCATTGTGTTTGGAACCATTCAAACATACTTGAAAGATGCCAAGGAAAGGTTGTTGCTGACAACAAAGGCAGCAGAGAAAATGGGAGTTCCATTGGGGTTCAAATTGGTGAGAGGTGCTTACATGTCCACAGAGAGTAAATTAGCAGACTCTTTTGGACATGCATCCCCAATTCACAATACCATTCAGGACACACACAATTGCTTCAATGACTGCTCATCATTTTTGCTTGAGAAGGTTGCGGATGGACCTGGTTCACTTGTTCTTGCAACTCACAACATTGAATCAGGTACGTAATGTTCAACTAAGGCCTATTCATTTTCTTATAATCTTCTATATTTATTACATAGAGTTTACTTTAGATCTTCTACCATTTATATAGCTTTGGTGCATGTACTGTTTCCATGTTACAATATAAGAAAACTTAGCATCCCAATATCCAGTGTTTGATATGGTGTGACAATGTTGCGTAGGGAAATTGGTCGTGGCAAAAGCTCATGAATTGGGAGTTGGAAAGGTGAAGAACAAGCTAGAATTTGCACAGCTATATGGAATGTCAGATGCACTTTCCTATGGTTTGAGCAATGCAGGGTTTCAGGTTAGCAAGTATATGCCATTTGGTCCTGTAGATATGGTCATGCCTTATCTCCTTAGAAGGGCTGAAGAGAATAGAGGACTCTTGGCTGCTTCAGGCTTTGATAGGAGACTGATGAGGTAGGCTACATAAAATTTTTCATTCATTAACCTCTCTGCTTTGATGTTATGCTAACAATTTGATTCTTTTTCTCTGAACAGAGAGGAGTTGGGAAGAAGACTAAAAGCTGCAGTCTTCTAATCAGCTAGGAAGCAAGATTTCATTCACTTTTGTAAATGTAGAGCCAGATGGAATTATGCTTTCAATGAAATGAAAATCTGCATTGTTTGGTGCTTTTGTGCATTAAATTTTCAACCTAGCTTTACTCCAAGTTTGTTTGGTTCATTAAATTTTTATACAATTTTCCCACTCTCAAACACTTCTAAAATTGAATAATAATGTTATGAGCAACGGATGCAAGTGGGTTAGCTAAAACAATCAAACTAAAATTGTCACTAACAATAAGAAATTACTAAAAAGAAAGGTTTTTTATTATAAAAATTTACAGTACTAGTAATTACAGTGAGAAGCATTGATAATGCGTTCTTACAATTCTATTATTTCTAAATTCTCAACTAGTCTTCTAAACATACTTGTTGACATATACGTTAGTTGACTTATAAAAAATTTATTTCATTTTTATTTTTATCTCCTAAAAATTTATATTAAAAACTTTGTTTATAAGAATGAACCAGTTTTTTAGTTTGTTTTAATTTAAAGATAATTATGACAGGTTCAAAATTTTAGAAGTTAAACCTCATTATATTTTAATGATAAATTTGAGTTATACTTTAAGTTTTTTGACTCGGTTTAGCATTTTATGTTAGTTTTTTGACTCGGTTTAGTATTTTATGTTAGTTTTTTTTTCTTTTGTGTACAAAAGACGATACGTTATATCCTATATTATTTTAAAATTTATATTTTTAACAATTTCCTAGTTTAAGTCAAAGTCGTTATATTTAAATTTTAAATTTGAGTTATATTTAAGTTGTTTTGACTGGGTTTTTATTTCATATTGGTTTTTTCTTTTGTGTTAAAGAAAATGTTAAAACAGATAGATTCAATTTATATATATTATTGATACAAGACATTTTTAGTTAATTAATATTTTATATCTTCATATCATGATAACAATGATTTTAACATATATACAGTAAAATATACTTTAATTTAAGGTTAATATATATTTCTTTAAATATATAATTTATTTATATATGGATAATTTTAATTGTGGAAATCTGAAAAATGAGAAGAATTAATTAATTGTCAATCACCAATTAGCCATTCATACTCCTAATTGCAACAATACATTCAAATCAAAAGGGATTAATTAATATTAATTTCTAAATCATGATCACAGTCTCCAATTTGTATGAACTTGATGTATTTTCATAAATTTAATTATCATCATCATTCTAACAAATAATATATATTTTTTAAAATTTGTCGGTGTGAAAAAACGAATCTCAATCAAAATGCTTTCTAGATTCCATTGAAAGAATGAGTTCTTGAATAAGTGATTGTGCAAGTTTATCTTTGAAGAACTTTGATTTTTTTTATTTTTTTTTCCATACACAAGATAAGATTGGTTCAAAGAGATAGCCTCCTAAAAAATCAAAATCACTACAATTATAATATTTATATACACATCACGAAACACTTATAATAAGTGATTGTGAATTGTTTTATCATTACTTTATACTTAATTCAAAATTTCTCAATCAAGAATTATATGACATAAGATTTGTAAGCATGCATTATTTGATAAGATGGAAGAACTTTCACGTCCTTCTCATCAATTTCACTTTCGAACTTTCATTTTTATACGTCTTGATTGTTTGGTTGATAAACGGGGAGCATTTTCTTTATTTAATGGAAGTTGAAAGTAACTTTATAAGGGATATTATATATTAAAAAAAAATTAAAGAGAAACGAAATTATTTTTTATTTTCTTTTCATTACAGGGTATATTCTTAAATGCAATTATAATTGTTTTGTAATAAAGATCAATGGAAGTAATTTCATCAAGTATAAAACAAATAAACGAAGGTGATTAAAATCAATGAATAAACAAAAAGAGGAAGATAAAATGTAAATGAAAGAATGATACGAGATGAACTTTAATTAGTAGATGTTGGTTGACACAAAAAGTGATTTAAAGATATAGAAAAAAATTTAATTTTTTTTAAAGTGTAGATTCATTTTTTTTTTCAATAAGATATAATTTTAAAAATATCATAATAAACAGTATCATATAATAAAAATTGTGATCTAATAAATTAAATCCAACTATTTTTTTTAGTTCCTTTAAATCTTAAGTTCAAATAAATAAATTTAGTTAGACTGAATATATATTTGAGTTAATTTTTTTAAAATAATAATTATATTTAAGTTTATCAAAATAAATAATATTTTATTAAATTAAATTAAATTTATATATCTAAAATTTATATTAATTTTATTAATGTAATTTATATGTTAAAAATAAATATTTTCCTGGTAACTTAATTTCTTTCATCATATGGGTATATTTTAAAATACAATCATAATTATTTTTTGTCCACCTTTATGCAAAATGATTTAAGAACCTTATACAAGTATTACATAACAAAGTATTAAGTAATAAAATGAATCATAATATAATTAATTTTAATGTAATTAACTTTATTTTTCTTAACATTCCCCTCAAACTAATGTAATGTAAATAGAGAAAGTGACCACAATTTTGCGTGGAGAGTTTCAAATGGAGGACCAATGATGTACTTCGAATTACAACTTGATACGGTGATGGCAGATGAACTATCTAAATGGCTCTAGTAAGCATCTGAAAAAGTATTGATCAAGTTCAATATATTTAATTTAAGAATGCATGATGGGCTAGTGATCATTAACACAACACCAAGTGGTCACTAAATGATCAAAATAATGATAGAAAATTTGGTCATTAAATGACTGAAATCGGTCATTAAATAAAATAGTGACAGAAAAAATGACTAATTCGAATCTGTTACACTTTTCTTGGTTGTTGATTTTTTAGACCGATTCAGTGACCGATTCTAGGACCGAATCAGTAACTGATTCTGTGACTGAATCTACGACCGATTTTGTGACCAATTTTATGACCGAATATATGACCGAATTGGTCACTATATCACTCACTAATTTTATTTTATTTTTAATATTATTTTTAAAAAATAATAAACCTGATTAAGGAATATGAAATACATTAACCTGATTATACTATCTGAGATGACCATCAAAATAATACCACAAATTTTGTTCTAAATGAATTCATCATTCATGAATTAAATACTTTCTTGTATATTGAAAATCAAATCTAAAAGTAAATAGAATAAACTAAAGTAAGAGTCACAATTCTAGAGATGTTAGAAACTAACAAAACAAATACAATATGTAGAATAAAAGTATCAATTCACAATTCAGGAGGTTGAACATCTATCTTCTCCATCATGAGGAGTAATATTTTATCATTTTTCTGAATTTTTTTCTCATTAGTTAACATTTTTTCACATAGATCATCCCTTTTAGTCTAAACTTCCTCTAACTTGTGTTTTAATTGTTCCATCTCTTCTGTCGTTTGGAAACTGGTCATTTTCTTTATTAAAATGACTCACAAACTATGCACCTAAAGCATCATGAATCATGTTGTCAAAGTCTTGTCTATGAACCTCGTGTGCATTATTAGATGAATTTGGAACCCTATTATTCACATCACACATATTTAGATCCATTTCTCCATGACATGTCCAATACCAATATGCAGGTATAAATTCTCGACGATAAAGATGAACTTGAACATCTTCAAAATCTAAAAAGTTCTTATTTTTGCATTTACTACATGGACATCTAATTTTTCCATTTGACATGTTTGCTTGTTGAAGAGCAAATGACACAAATTCAGTCACAGCATTTAAAAATGCATCAGTATACCCCTCTCAACTAGGTACAAGTCTATTATATATCCAACTACGATTTTCACGAACATCAATTTTCTATCATATGCCAACAAATGACTTATTTTAATAAATAAGATACCATATAATTATCCACAACATAATTACATTAAAATCTCTAACACTAAATTTATAGGCATTGCTAGAAATTATACCTCTGCCACTAAAACTGCCTAGTAGTATAAAAATATTGACAGTTGGAAACACAAGATGGTGGAAGTAAACATGCTTGAAGAACTTAACAACACATTATGAACTGACAACTATACAAATAAAAAATGGATAATAATTATAAAGTGTATAAATAATCATTCTCATAAATAATCATAATAAGAAGAAAGAAGTTGATATATCAACCTCAACATATTGCTACTAAGTTTCCAAATTGCAGCCTAACAAGAAAAGTTGCCTATATGATAAAAAAAACACAATGATTGATTAAACCAATCACCTCACATCACTAAGTTTAGGGAAAATTTTCACATGTTCTTGATGCATGTTCCTTAATCATTCAATCATGTTCTTCCTTTACTTTTGCCAAACGACTAGTCATGTTCTAACCATATATTAATTCCTTTATTCTTTCTCCTAGGTGGTTGAACAGTGTAAAATTAATTAAAAATAACAAAAAAATATTGTTTTTCAGTAATTTTTGTCGTTATGATAGTTATATTATGCCGTTATGATAGTTATATGATTAGTTAACGATACTACATGATAACTCCACTCAAAAGAAGAACCCTTATTTAAAATTTATAAGCATTTTCATGATAAAAAAAATAAAATAGAAGTTAAATTAGTTCTTTCATAAACTATATACAAATTAAAATTATAAATTGAGAAAAATTATATAAAAAAAGTTTACATAAACTAGTTTTAATTTATAAAGAAAATAATTTCAAATTTTGTCCTCATTTTACTCTATGAAAGTTTATGGAGAAATTATTTAACCATACATTTGATATAAGTAATTATCATAGAAACATTAACATTCGTGATATATAATTACATCACATTATAAAAATTATTTATATTTTCAATATATTTAATTAGAGCCTGACTCGAGTTGAAAACATATCATAAATAGAAATAATTGCAAAATGCAAAATTTCAATATATTTAATTAGAGTCTGACTCAATTGAAAACATATCACAAATAGAAAGAATTACAAAATGCAAATTTGCCAACTGATGTAATAAACACAAGAATGAAACCCATGTACTTGT